CATGCAGCTGCATAGCTCCCTTCTCTTCCACATTGGCCCCTCTGTGAAGACTATTCCGTTGTTACGGTATTCCATCACCTTCGTGTCAACTCGTGGGCTTCTCAGTTTCACAGGAGTGAAGTTTCCAATGGCCATCACCTCGGCCTCAGTGGGCCTTCTTTCAGCCTTCTCCTTTGGCTTCTGACTCATTGCTTCCTTGTTCTTCTTGTACTCTGAGTCCGTGTACCTGTGCTCATTCTTCCCAGAATAAACATTGCCCTTGTTCTTCGCATTCTTGTGCTCATCCAGGCACTCCTTGCTCCCCTTCGTTTCACCCTTGTTCTTCTTTATTGCCTTGTTTGCCTCGTCTATTTTGGTTTCATCTCCGCCTATTTTACCCTGCTCTGGCTCAGCAACCCTTTCAGCATCGTTCACCTTCTTGGTCTCATTTGCCTCCTCTATTTTACCCTGGTCTCCACCAATCATCCCCTGGTTCATGTCAACTGGTTCATCGGCATTGTTCACCCTCTTTGCCTCATTCGCCTCAGCTATCCTATTCTCATCTCCTCCTATCATGTTGTCGTCTCTTTCATCCTTGAATAACAACTTCTTCTCAGACATGGCCCCATTTGAATCATTCTTTTTTATACTCCCAACTCCTTTATTAATGCAATATTCTCCTGTAATATTATTAATATTTTGATCAATTTTGTAACTGCTTTTCTGTCCATTTTCAGTAGGCTTGTCCGTATCTATCTCACTGGGATGATCATTTTTCTCTGATATTACACTTTGATCAACCTCCTTTTTCTCCAATAACTTGATTGCCAATAAACAAATCACCTGTACCACAAACATCATCACACTTATCAGCAGTATCATCACCAAATCAATGAAGCCATACTCAACTTGCTTAGGGCCATTATCATCAACCAGAATACGCTTCTTACACTGCCTCTTCTTGGTATCCTTCTCCTTGTTTCTATCCTGGTTAAGCAAGTCTGTGCTAAACAACATATCACCGTTAGTTAGTGTGTAAATTCTGTTCTCTTTTTCTCCAATCACAGCCGTGTCCTGGATTGCACTCGTTTCGAGATGCGATTCCTGGGTGACAGTTGTGCTACTACGCTCTACCATGCACTTGTTAGCAAACTGAATTAAAATGATTTGGTATCAAACGTGTATCAAATACCAGTATTAATAGTTTAGGATGGCGTATTCTTTGATTGGTTGATTCTATCTTTGAATACCCCTGATACATCGGCCTGGATGGTGTATTTCTCTGCTACTTCATCAAGTAGGGCATCAAGGCGGCTATTTTCCAATTTGACCAATTTGTTGATTTCCAGGTGTGTTACGTAGATCTTCTCTAAAATGGGAAGAGTCCTTGAATCAAGTATCAGTCCAGCACCAAAGTACTTTGTGATGAAGTAGTCTTCAATGTGTTTGATCAATATCACAAAATACTCCAGAAATGGGTGACGGTAGTGTGGATACTCATCCAAAATGGAGAGAGTCAGAACGTAGAATATTCTGATCACACTTTGGATGGAGAAGTCACTCGATTTGATGATCAGTTTCAGGTCTTTCTGGAAGTACTTGCACAGTTTCTCAGTTGATACCCTGATCAATACTATTGAATCAATTGCCTCTGCTATTCTGATTTCAGCATTGATTGGTTGTGTGGTTTCAGTGAGTCCAATGGCACCTATTCTCATTTTGAAAGATGGCTCCTTTCTTATTCTATACATTTCCAGCATCCTACTCAGTATCTCGTAGTACCACGGTGCTGTATATTTCCCAGCATCAATTGTGTTACAGAAGTTGATGTAGACTTCCCTGTCTACTTCAATTCCCAATTTGGTGTAGTAAACCAATTTGCCGTAAAACAAGGCGTGATTTGTCTGGGAATATCGTAACAGAATCCTGTTGACCATTTCTGGTAGTGAAGTATCCTCATCCAATACAGTTGCCAATATTCTGTAGAGAACTAGTGAGTGGCTATCAGCAGTCTGCTTCTTGATTCCATTGACTACCTTTGTGAATACTTCTTTCAGGTCTCCTCTAGTTTCTGATAAGTTGATTTTGTGATGTATCATTTGGATAATTTGTGATGATAATATGCATGAATTAATGTGACCTAATAAAAATAGACCAATTCTATGCTTGATGAATTTGGAGTCATTCAGCAACAATTCTGGTACAAATATCATCCTAGAGTAGTGTACGAATCTCTCTGATCCTATTTCACTATTCTTATTCTCCCTCTCGTAGTATATTTGCCTATACGTCTTATGTAACTCACTATTTGTTATTTCATTTGTTTCTATGCTCTCATCCACTCTTCTGCTTACTGCTTCCCTTGTATAGCACTTTATTACTCCACTATCATTCCTAAGTCCACTCAAATCCACTCTAACTCTATCTACCACACTCTTCTTACAACCCAACCTATTCTGATCCACCAGCTGTATCAGTGTCTCTTTCTCGTCTACAAAAGTCAGTTTCTGCCTATTCAATTCCAAATATCCCATAAATCCCCTTTTCTGTACGTCATTGGCATCTAAATGAACACTTCTTCCCAATTCATTTCTGTTCTCCCATAAATCAACCTCAATCCACGATGTACCTGTTCTACTGGGGTTTATTTCCTCATATACGTTGTACTCGTGCCCGTATTCTTCATTTTCTTCTACCTTTATCTGGTGTATTTTCCTGAAGTTTTCTGTGTATTCCCTAAATAACATTTTGGTAGAAATTGGGTAAAATATTCCAGTAAAGATTGCCCATCAATGACTGACTGCAAAATTGGATACAAAAACAGTAAGGCCCAATTCACCAGAACCAAGGCGTACACCGCAATTCAGAAGTTCATTGCTGAAATTGACCAGGGAATAAAGTCCACAACTGATGCAAGTGATGCTGATCAGATACTGCCTGAACTGAAGGCAGCAGCCGATATCATTGAGAAGACTGAGCTGTCAGATGAGCCAACTCGCTTCGCAAACAGGGCAATGGTCGACGTAATCAGAAAAATGGAGCAAATCAAACCAGATAACCTCTATTTCATGGAGTCATTTGGAAACAGGGTGCGAATGGACTATGGAACAGGACACGAGTTGAACTTCCTCTGCTACCTCTTTGTTCTACGCGACTACGACTTCACCAGAAATGAGGACGTTGATTTTGTGGTAGAAAACATGAAGTTCTACATGGAATCAGTGAGGAAGTTCATCACCAAATTCAACCTGGAGCCGGCTGGCTCTCGTGGATGCTGGTCCATCGATGACTTCAGTCTCCTTGGATGCGTGTTTGGAAGCAGTCTTCTGGTGAAACAGGATGAGATGAGCCCGTTCTACAGGAAGCACATTGACATGTGGCAGATGGCAGTATCAAATCCAAATCCACTGCTACGTAGAATTCTGATTCAGGAACCAATCAAAATTAATAAGGGGATGTTACGGATGTACTACGAGAGTGTTTTAGAGAGGTTTGTGGTGACACAGCACTTTATATACAGCAGTAAGCTGAGTGATGAATTGATTGATTATTTGTTTATAATGTTCTGCCTTGTTTCTAACCCAGGTATGATGGGACTGATTACTTTGATCGTACAGGTGTGGGCTAGTAGCACAATAATGAAGGGTGATAAATTAGATATGGATTTGGATGACAACGTTGAAAAGGTTAAAGGGGGAGTATTCCACAAATTCATAGAGAAGCATATTGAGAAGGAGTATGATGAGACACATAGGCGTGAGATACCAGGACCAGTAGCAACCAAGAGGGATGCAGTGGCAATTGATCTGGGTGGAAGCACCCTACGGATCTCTCTATTCGAGTACAACAAGAAGGAAGAGATTCACCACCAAAAGGGCCTATTGGAACATAAAATTGAGAATAAGGTGGAAGAAAGAGTTGAAAAGTATATTCAGAGGCATTTAGACCTGTTTATGGCGACCAACTCTATCAAGGAGAGTGAGGTAGACATCTTTCTTACGTTTAGCTACGATTTCACTATGATATCTCCCAATAGAATCAGACTTCTTGATTTCAGCAAAATATGGCAGTTTCCAAGGGTGAATGAGGCTGAATTTGAGTTTACGCCCTACTGTATTGTAAATGATTCAGTAGCAGTCGTTCTATCGAAATACGACCCAGAAATGTTCAATATCGCATTTGTCTGTGGAACTGGATTCAACTGCTGCTACGCTGAAGATGGCATGGTTGTTGATACTGAAATGGGAATGTGTGAATTTGGGAATACCACCCTGGACAGCCTTCTTGCAGGTGGAAACCTGGTTAAGGTGGACGGTAGCTTTGATTTGACTGATCCACTGACAAAGGAGAGATTGGAGAAGAAGCTGCTTCTGCTGAAGGAGACCATTCTGGTAGTTGTTAGGAAGAAGTGGAATAGGAGCAAGAAGTTGAATTTGATACTGAATGGATCGGTATTCAAGTCAGGACAGAAGATCATAGATGAAATTGCAGATGAATTGGAGTGTGTGATCACACTCAGTCAAAATGCTACACTTGAATTCGTAATGAACATGTGATAAATTGATCAATATGGAAATATGTTTAATCAAATTGGATGATAACGAGTTATTAGGTCATTTAGTTAGAATTCCTCGTCCAACTTAAATTCGAAGTTGTTTTCAATTCCAACGTATCCTTTCTGGTAGTTTGCCTCTCGCTTATCGAAGAAGTTCGTCTTTCCCTGGAGACTCAGGTTGTCCATGAAATCAAATGGATTCTCAGCATTGAACACCTTTGACTCCCCCAATGCGTAGAGCAGCCTGTCTGCTACAAACTCAATATATTGGCTCATCAACTTCGAGTTCATCCCAATCAGGTCAACTGGCAATGACTCAGTCAGAAACTCCTTCTCGATCACAACGGCCTCTTTCACGATCTGAGTGATGTTCTTGCACTTTTTGTTGATGTATTTGTGAAGGAGACAGGCGAAGTCGCAATGGAGTCCCTCGTCCCTGCTAATCAGCTCATTTGAGAAGCACAAACCAGGCATCAATCCCCTCTTCTTCATCCAGAATATGGCAGCAAATGATCCACTAAAGAAAATTCCCTCAACACAGGCAAATGCAACCATTCTCGTATCAAATGATTCAGCAGACTCAATCCACCTCATTGCCCAATCTGCCTTCTTTCGTATTGCTGGAATATTGTCAACTGCATTAAATAGGAAGTCTTGTTCCGTTTTATCGCAAACCAGTGTCTCAATCAGCTTGCTGTACATCTCAGAGTGGATGTTCTCAATTGCAATCTGAAACCCGTAGAAGCACTTGGCTTCAAGCACAGTCACGTCGTTGGAGAACCTTTCGGCCAGGTTCTCATTTACAATTCCATCTGAGGCAGCAAAGAAGGCAAGAACGTGCTTGATGAAGTACTGTTCATTTGCATTAAGGGAGTTGAAATGCTGGAGATCAAATGTCATGTCGACCTCTTCTACGGTCCAGAAGGTGGACTCGTGCTTCTTGTAGAACTCCCAGATCTCAGGATACTGAATTGGAAACATCACGTACCTCTTTTGGTCTTCGTCAAGCAGTGGCTCGTAATCGCCCTCTTTCTTCGCTATTTTGGGCGCATTCTGCTTGTTCTCTGTCTCGTTTCTGGTAGCATCCTTCTCTTCAGACTGTGATGGCAGTGTGAATATCATATTGTGGGCTGAATCAGCCGTATTTATACTAAAAAATGGAGGGAAAATGTAAAAATATTCTTGTCAATAATTGATCTATTCAAGCTTCCTGACCTGCTTCTTGAGGGCCCTTTCTGTCTCAGCCTGCTGCCTCAGTATTTGACATATGCATCTCTCCCTATCAACAAACATCGTCTCACGGCCATTCTGCTGGGCAGAATACTTCACAACTTGGCCTGTGCATCGACAGTAGTCCTCTCGAATCATCAGGGAGTTCGTGGCGTAGAAAGAGCGCCTTTCGTCAATCAGAAGGTGCGCCAGGTGGCTGAAGTTGTGTCTGATGATCGTCTGACGCAGCTGCCTGCGTTCTTCTATGAATATGTTATGCGCCTGTCCATTTCTTGGGGAGCTCATGGAGCGTGGATGGGCAAATGGACTTGGATTCCAGTTCCACTCTCTGCCTCTTTGCTCCGTTTTATGTCCAGTTGCCATCTTCTCGTTGTTTATTGAAACATTTTTATCAGCTGCTTTTCTTGCCTTGACTGGTCCCCTTGCTTTTTTGACTTGCCTACGTTTTTCAGTAATTTGATGCCTTTCTCGCATATTGCGAATGATTTCATTGTGCAGAATGTCTCTAGTGCTCGTGGCCTTCTGAACTGCGCTAGTGAAGTGTGTGCTGGCCTTGGTGAATGGCATTCTTCCGCCCTGGGTCTCATTTGTCCCAGTTTGCTTCGTTTTATCCTGATCCATATTTTGATTTTGAAACAGAATTGAACTATTATTCTCACAGAGATCGCAATGTGAAACACATCCCGTCTTATGGCCCATTCTCTCCAACTTCTGGTGACATGAGATGCCTGGAATCCGCTGATTACAATTGCTCATATTGTGTTCCATTAGTATATGGGTTTGTTTATTCCTTTTTGTGATGGAAATCAAAACAAATAAAACAGATGTATTTCTATATTACAAAGAGGTGGATACATGTTTGAGATCGACGCGACTAGTAAATTTTAAATATCAATCAAAAAACAAAGCGTCTAAACAAAATGGTCGTTTTGATCAGAAGAATGAGTCCAGCTATTGGTGTGATACTGAGAGTGAATATGCAAGTTATTTACTGATTTCAAATTATTCTCATAACAGAGATAACGGATGACAGGGTGTAGTGTTTGTTGTTTAGAAATTGAATGGTATTTGGAATTCAAATAGTCGTTTATCTATAAATTAGATTGCTCCATCTTTTCCGATAGCCTGTCGAAGTCAATCTTCCGATTTGTCAGGGTAGCCAGGAAAATGGAAAAGAGTATCCCAATTTCCATTTCAACTGGCTTTTTGTTTTCCAGCAGTCTACGTGAACCACGTGTGGTCTTCTTCAAATTCATTCTGAGATTTTGGAAGTAGACTTGGACACGTCTCAGTGACAGATTTAGCAAAATTGACAGATTATAGCGTGTGTTTCTACCAGGGTATTTGATTAATCTGAAGACAGAATTCAGTAACAGGCGCTGGAGTTCAGTCTTGTTAATGTAACAGTTCTCTGAATATGCCATTATTACTGTCTCTCGCTTCAGTTTAAGCAGACCCAGGTACGCCTCAATCTCAATATTTTGCATTAAGGTATCAAAAATTTGTTGTGATGAATGATTTGTTGATTTCAGATCAGGAAACAGATAAACTGATTTACTCATCTGTCCAATTCTGGTACCCGATTACCCACTATCCGCTGCAAATAAACAGGTAAATCATTCTCTAATCAACTGTCTAATTAGAAAACATATTATTTGTTAGTTGATAGGACAGTTGACTGAATGTTTCAAAAAGTGGTGAAAACCAATTCTATTGGATAAGAATCCAATAAAAAAGTATTCTATGAAATGACATGAATATCGAGGATGAGACGGTGGTGGTTGAAAATGTGACAGATGTGCATCAGGATGTGGTCGAGGAGATCCGGCCTATTGATCTGGATATTTCAGATGAGATTCTGGCCAAAAACGGCATTGAAAAAATAACCAAGGCAAAAGTGGTCGTTGAATCACTGTTGCTGAACAATTACATCTATATCCACTCTGACGACAGGAGACTGATGTGTGCTAAGAGAACTATGCGTGGATTCAACATCTACGACCTAAGAACCAACGAGATCATATGCAAACTATCCGCCAACATCTTTGGTACGAAATATTCAGTTACGAAACTAAAGGCAAAAACAAGTGAAAACATGCAAGAGATTACGAATAGAGACGGAATGTACAGGTCAAAGAACAACTCAAGTTCGATGTTGATTAACAACCCGAATCTACTGAATACGCTTCCAGCACTATCAGTCTCATACGACGTGAAGTTTCTAAAGCGAGAAACTCCCAGGTCATTTAAGATTAAAATGGGCCAGCTTGGTCTCCAGAACAAGCAGCCAATTTACAATCCAGAAACAAACGCATACAGTTTAAATTTCAGTGGTCGAGTTACGGTAGCATCAGTGAAGAATTTCCAGATTGTTCATCCACTGGAACTCACCTTTATTACGCTTACATTTGGTAAAGAAGGAAATGAATCGTATATACTTGATTTCACACACCCGTGGAATGCATTACATGCATTTTGCGTGGCTTTGACTGCATTGGACCACAAATTGGGATTTGAATGAGGCCATTTGTCATAGAAATCAGCCCACATGAACAAAGAAATTTCAAAGCTAAAACCAGTTCGTTATTTTAGATACGCCACTGGTCTCCGATCATTTAAAATCTACCGTGGAATGCTCTATACGCTTTCTTATCGTGGATTTGGTCTCTCTAAAATGAATAATTCGCCTACAATTCATAAAATGGAGAAACACGTCTTTACAGACATGTTTGTGACAGATGAATACGTATACTTCACTACATCACATTCTTGTTATAGTAGCACAATTGATTCATTCAAATTGGAGCACATTTGTGGTATTGATCAATTATCTGTTTATACTACACAAAGTAACAGATTAATATTGGGTAATAAAGATGGAATTATGGTATATAATGGAGTCAAACAGGTTCACGACTATATATTTGCAGATAAATATGGCATAGTAAGTGATATTAAATCACAAGAGGATGATATATTGATTGGCACTGAATCGGGTAAAATAGTAAGAGTCAGTATTGAAAACAGAAAAGAAGATGTCATAATCAGCTGTGGGAAATCAATCATCAAATTTGTAACCTCAGGTGATCTGATTTATGTTCTCACAACTGATTTATCTGGTTACGAAATTATGAAAATCACAGCAGATAATAAGGTTCTTGGTAGACTCAAACTATCTGAATATCCATTTGGCATTGTGGAATATAGGAGTGCCATACTGATTCAATTTGAATACTCGATTGCTTTCTTTGACGATAATTTAGAACCAATTGGGCAGAAAACCAGTCATATTCAAATCAAACAGATTTCAATAGAAAAAGATGCCTGTTTCATAGGCTATTCATGTGGCCTAATTGAACAAGTTCTCCTGAATAAATAACCTAAATTATATCCGTAAATGTATCTTTATTAGTCCTTGTTCCTCTTCTCTATCTTCTTCATGTTTCTCTTCATTGTTCCGAATATCTTTGCCTTCTTCTTTCGTGCCTCCTTCCTCTGCTTTCTGAGCACCTTCGTCTTCTCTTCACCAGTGAGCTTTCTCAAGACATAGTCAAGCACAACCTTCTTCATCAATTCAGCATTAGAATACAAGTGCGCCTTTGCTTCCGTACTATGAAGACCAAAGCCAGTTGTCATATCAAATACATGAATTTGTTCAACTGGTATTGAATAGTTCGTGCTCAATTCCTTCTTGATTTCATTCTTGTTTGGCGTAGCCTGCTTTGAATGCTTGATTGTTAGGTCGATCTCCTTCCTGCTGAACAGGCTGTTTGTGAATGATTTCTGGACTTTAAGTTGAATTGCCATGTGGGCAAATTTTGTGAAAAATTATCAGGCGACACCATTTAGAAAGTTTATTGGTTGTTTTAGGAGTATTTTGTGCTTTAATCTACTGGTTTCTTATAATTGTGCTGTTTCATCAACCCTTGTACCTTTCTTAGGCCATTTTTTGCTTCAGAAGAATTCTTATTTGTTAGCTTGCATATTTCTAAGTCCAATGCATAATACGCGTACATCTTCTCTAGTTCTCTATTCAAATCATCTGAACCACCATTTGCTACCGTGTTCTCTATTTTATCAAGCAAATCCAAAATGTCATTTATTTTTTCCATGGGTTTTCTACATTTCCTGTTTTTTTTCACATTCTTTGATTTTCTCCATAAATTTAACTGGATCAAATTGAAGCATGTTGGCTGCTTCTTCGTTAAATGGATCCTCTTCTGAGACATTCTCAAATATTTCTATCAGGCTCAAAACAGCACTATTTATGTTGTATGATGGCATCCAGCCATCTCGTAGGATCTTTAGGCAGACTACGCCTTCATAGATGTTAGGATGGAATGTTGGTGTCTGACAATACAGCTTTGGTCCTACAAATGGATAATCATCTGGAAAAACCAGCCGGAATGTGTATTTCTTCTTATAATACATGCTATTGAATCTCATGGTAAATGTCAGCACATTCTCTTCCAATTTCATGTTTTCTAATTTGATTACAAGATTATTCAAGTCATCTTTGACACGCAACCTAGCAAAAATTGACATCAGGGCAAATAGGTTGTTCCATTGATTCTGATTTGCATTTGCTATGAATGCATTTGAAGTGCTCCTTTCATAATTTCCAGTGTAAAATTGATCACAAAAGACCCTTTAATGAACAACAAGCAGCCTAAAAATGTTTTAGTAATTGCAAAAGTCATTGATTGTGACCTGGAAAACTATCCCATTGCAATTGATACAGTGCCTAAAGACAAAGAGTACGATTTACTTGTTTATGTTGATTATAGATTTAATCTGGATATGATATATCCGTATTCAATTGCAAATGCAGAAATATGGTACGAACGAGGGGATACTGTGGACTGTGGCGTCATGGAAAGGGCATTTGAACACTATAGGACGTGTGAAATTCGAGAAGGAAAATGAAATTTTTACCGCATGGGAAAAAGGAAGAACAAGGAAGAAATCAAAAAGTTGTTGGAATTAAACAGCAGAATCCAACAGCTCAACAGGGATGCTGCTGCACTTGATTCAGAGATATTTAAGAATGAAACAGCTTACCTGACAATGACAAAGGGGATGCCAATAACACAGGACTGTGAGTACTACATAAATGGGAAGATTGACCGTAAAACAGAAGAAATCAGTAACAAAACCAGAATATTCAATACCAGCTATCCAGGGTGTAATGATATTTAAACTATTCATTTGTGTTGTTCCATATGATGTCCCATATAGTGGCCTTTCTCTCTCGCTTCGGTATGTTCTTCGTAAAGTCTATGATCATTATGTTTTCAAGTGCACCATCCTCATTATACAATCTTGTAAAATCAAGAATGTCTAAATGCCCCTTCTGCCCTAAATCATACATCCTTAGAACGGTATTCACACTTCTTTCATCCTCATTCAGCCCCAGAAATAGCCTAATTTGCATCAATACCCCGTGGCATAGCCTATGATCCTTGTTTAAATCAAAGATGTTGAAGAGAAAGTTGATTCGAGTTGTCTTTGGCGTCTTCTTGTGGAATATTCTCAGAAATTCCAGAAAGTAGGCGAAGTTCATCTTCTCATACTCTAGCACATTCTCCTCTATGTAGTTCATTATGAGCACTTTCAGCGGATTTGATGCAAATTCTGGTATCATTTCGAAGTCAGTGTACGAAATGATTCCCGCATTGTTTCTGTCCAAGTACACAAATCTATTGAACAGGTATTTTATCTCCTCCTTGTTAAATACGGTGTTCTCTACCAGATATTCTATTTCACCAGTGTCCAGCTTGTCTGTGAACAGATTGTGCATGCAATAAGAAGGGATATTTATTTTGCCTTTTATACACAAATTGATCATAAAATAAACATTTACTCGACATAATCCATATCATCAGATATGTTGAAGTTCTTATTGAAGTCTCTTCTTTCTATAGGCAACCTACCACAAACGTACCCTTGTATCGTGTAAATGTCATCTGTTACCTCATTTATGCTATCCTTAAACATATTGACATCATCCCTTAATTTGATGAATTCCTTCTTTGATAGCCTATTTGCCTTCTCTTTGGTTTCTTCTAGGGCTGTTACTTGTTTCTTAAGCTTGTTATATTTCTCCAATAGCACGATTCTTTCTTCTGTCTCCTCACGCTTTCCCTTCATCTCTTCAATCCTTATCTTATACTCCTTGTTCTGACTCTTCATCTCTGCCAGTTCATCTTGTAGCTTTTCTGTATTACATTGGATCCTGTGGTGATCCTGATACATGAATCTCCAATACAAATTGCTTGATCCTGCCTTTTCACAATTGATTTTGTTGTCATTGATTAGCTCACTCAACAGATCTTTAAGTATCATAGAAGATATCCCACAGTATTTTGGTATCTTCTTTTCTAGCTCCTTTAAAACGAATACCTCTGAAGAAGACATAAACCAGTTCACTATTTTCTGGTGTTTCTCGTCCTTGGAAACTTTTTTGACCATGTAGGGGCATATTATAATCGTAATAAAATGATTTATTTGTTGAATTCTTTAGCTGGAATGTTGTTATTCAGTCTGATTCTTCCTTTTCCCTCAAACCAGTTTAACTCCATTCTACGCTCATACTTTCCTCTGATAGCCGCTCTTCCTGTTTTCTTTCTTGGATGCTCTGACTTTGCAATCTGTGGAGTCTGTCCTCTCACCTTTCCTGCTCTGTTAATTGATACAGCTGCCATTGATGGGTTGAATTTCTGCAGATTTTACCCTAAAAAATTTACTAAAAAAGCAGATCCTGGTTTACGTGTCTAACTACAAACTGTAGAAACACGTTCTTCTCATTTACAATTGTTGCCTTCACCACAGTCTCATTCTCAAATGCCTGAATGAATATAAAATCAAGCATTTTATAAACACTCTGCATGCACCTGGCCCAAGAAGTATCACAGGTGAAACTATACCTATTCGACTTCAGTATTTCTATTGGAATGCGTATCTGTTCATTTAGTACGTCATTTGTTTGAGATACCGTTAGATTTTTACCAATTGAAAACTTGCTATTGCCCCTGGGAAAATAATTCAGCATTTCTTTACGCAGGATGAATTCAGCTATGGAATCACCTGCTACTTGATAGTTGATGGCTTCATTGTGGTTACAGAATGGAATTGAGATATAATTACTGCTCTGTTCGCATATAAACGGTCGATCTAGTTGGACTATATAGGCAGATGGATTAATTTCCATATATTTCTGTTGAAATATCTTCTCAATTGTCTTGGGTGTAACAGTTTCCATGTTAAATGATTCGTTGATAAAGATAAGTCCATCTGCAACTACAAAATACCCGGTATCAAACATATTGAGCATTATCATAAGATCTTTGTAGAAAATAGCAAAAGCTGTTTCAAAATTTGCAATGAAGTGGTTGTTTTGAAAGGTTGTTGTGGTGCAATTGTGTGACTGAATGGATATTTTTGTTTTGCTTATGTTTATGTGTATTATTGTAGAGCTGTTGTGTATTTTAAGCAATTTTTTCAACAAGAGGAGATTGTGTATGATAAAAATTTGCATTGGGCAATTTTTAAACAATAATTTCAGGTTTTTCTTGTTTATTTAAAACAAAGATACTGTGGTTGTCTAGTATGGTATACCTGTTGCTTATGTATGTTTATAACAAAGATGCATCCTAGTAATTTAATGTAGTCTTGTGTTTCTCTATTTGAAAGATAGGCAAATTTTTAATGGGAATGAATGTCCTTCATAGGAGTTGTTGGATGTACTGTTTATTGAAGATTCCGGTTCCATTCTTGGGGTTCTCAAAATGACGTTTCTTTTATAGTCAGTGATTGATAGGAGTGACACTCTTAGTGATCTTACGAATAGTCACTTACTCCTACCCAACAGGAGTGATA